ACGGTTTGATGTGATATGAGCTAACCGATCTTTAGATTTAATCACCATTGGTAGTGAGATTTATGGTAATGCTTTTTTCCTCAGTTGGTCAGAACAAACGTGGCAGACTTGTTACTTACTTGTACAGATGGAAATATATGGTGAAAATTCTTATTTGGGTCATATTCCAAGAAGTAGGCTAGAATCTGTGATTGCGAAGTACAGTAAATATCCACACCGGTGCGGTGACTGACTGCCACACATACTGTTCAGAACATTAGATTCATCCACGGTGGAGCCGTGCCGACTCACAACCGACGCAAGCTAGATAATTCCGCACACAGCTGCAATTCCAGGTTTTCAAACAGAGATGGCGTCAAAGAGGCAAAACTTACGGACTGCAGCTTTAAGTAAACCCAGATAGGGTGATCTAATAAACATAGAGAGTTGTTATAGGCGACGGCAAAATATCTAAACCGCTAAATGCCCTGACTGACCAGTCAGAAACGAGTATTCCTGAAAGCCATGTACTGAATACATATGTAGAGTAGATCTGTAAACAGTTTTTCCCAGTATTTTTTTCCATGGCATCACATTATACTAAAATATGTATTGTTGTAAATGCAGTGCATGTTAAATCACTCTTGTATATGGGATGTCAAAGCTTGAGAACACCCAGTGTGGAGAGCAACACTCCTGAACATAATTCATAGAGTGTGTTTGGTGACACATACTAAATGACATTTTAGTGCATTTAATGTCCAACACTTATGTTTTAATGACATTTATGTTTTGTCTCAGTGGTCCACAGAGGTTGAATCCAGACTTTTTTATAGCCAGTGGGGCATTAAATATAATTGTGTTGTCTTTAGTTTGATGTCTCGTGGACCCACATGGGTCAGAAAACACCTAATGGATGGACAATGTGAACACGCTGTCGCTGTTCAAATGGGTGGAAGGTTTTATTTAATTCACGGTATGTTGGAGAAAGGAATATTTAAAATGAGAAGCGATATAATGTGATATTCAAAATGCACTTAACTCTAATAAGGGTAGAGAGGATTTTTAGATGCATGTTATTTTTTTCTCTGCTTAATTTGTATGCCACGGAACATAAAATGATCCTAAGGCAATAAATACCAGTGCTGGAATAACATCAGTTGGATCATCAATCTCATTTCATTTCTCACTGAAAGACTGTTTCACAAACCATATAATGATAATCTGCCTTTTTCTGTCAAGTATAGATGAATTACAAGTGATTCTGATGGCCAATGTTAATATAATAATACTGACCCCGGCAACCGGAGGGTACTCGGGTTCTAGTGCACTCAAACACCTATGTTGTCTTTACAAGTGTTTAGGCTAAAGTAATCAAATTATCCTCAAGAGTTAATTTGTTTTCTCTTAGGAACAAATCTCTGAACAAAATTTCCTTAATGAGCTTAATGATGAAATCTGTGTCAATGTATCTGTTTTGACATTTTGGCTTACAGCCATTTAAATAAGCTCTTTTTTTTTTTAGCAAAAAGTTGTATTTCTTTCCACACAGCTGCTCTGTCATTCCATTATATTTGTTTCCAAGTACATGTGATAATCACTTTTGTTATTTGACTATCCAAGAGGGAGTTATTCAAATAATTGTTATAAATGTCTTTAATCATTGCAGTCGTAAACAGAAAAGGAAAAAGGTCACAGCCTTCTCTAAAAACTGTATGGGGAGAGTGTTAAAACACTAATGCTGACTTGTAAAGCTCCTTGATTTAAAGGGGTCATATGATGCTGCTAAAAAGAACATTATTTTGTGTATTTGGTGTAATGAAATGTGTTTATGCGGTTTAAGGTTCAAAAAACACATTATTTTCGAATAGGTTATAGTTATAGTAACGACTTATTGAACAGTATATATATAAACTATTTATTTAAAGCTTTATTGAATATACAGTTATTGAATATCTTTGTAATATATTTGATTGAATAGGTTATAGTTATAGTAACGACTTATTGAACAGTATATATATATAAACTATTTATTTAAAGCTTTATTGAATATACAGTTATTGAATATCTTTGTAATATATTTGAATTAATTTATTTGTGTTAGGTATTCCACAGCAACTGCATTATAGGCCTTTCACAGACAAACATTCTGGCTGTTTTGATGTGATATTCCATTTAGCAGTGTGTTAAAGCAATTTAACTGAAATGTTTGTTTTATTATAGTCTCGCCTTCTGCTCTTATTTTTTCCCTTCAAATTACAGTATCAGTAGCAGCAGTGACATTACAACACGCGCACTTGCAACTCGAGGCGCACGCGCAGCATCACGCGCTTCCAGTAGGAACGCACGCAAGAGACGGGATGCATTAAATGCAATGATGGCGACAGCAGCAGAGGAGATCTCAGAAAACACTGTGACACCAGTGTCTTTCAAAAGCGCAAGGAAAAACCAGGATAGACCCTGGAAACTGAGCTTTATTTATCTGCAGTGCTGTGAGTATCAGGGGAGAGAGTGAGAGATCGATGTGTGATAGCAACGCAGAGGTCTAAAATACCCACCCCGCACTATATCACTGAATTGAACATTTAACACCATATTGCATAACGGACAGAGCACGTTACATCTTTATATCTCTCCTGACTTGCCGTCTTCATGTCCAGTTCAGAGATACAATACCATGACGTCATTCTCCTCAGTTAGCGTGCACCTCACACGCATGCATGAAGCTTTTTTTTTCTAGTCTTTTCTCTTGACAGGAGTTGTTATTTGATCTTTTCCGGTGTTATTTTTATGCGTTATGGCTTTGTTTATTGTCAAAGTGTAATTTGAGAAATTTAACAGTTTCTTTAAGTTCGTCATAGGCTTGCTTAAACGTCAACCAGCATCTGAGGGGATTCATGTTGAGACAATTCAAAATATAATTGAAAAGAGTCGTCTATCCGAAATGACAATTCTGTCATCATTTACTCACCCTTGTGTTGTTCCAAACCCGTGTGATTTGGTTTCTTCCGCAGAACGGTAAAGGAGAAACAGCTGTTAACAGATCAGTGAGTCAGTGAGTTAACGAATAATTCCGATCGGTTTCTTCTACTGTCTCGTCCGAGTTAGTTGAAAACAGTACATCTTTCACAGTAAGGGTTTTCTAAGCTGTAAATAAAACAAAGACTAACGGAGCAGGTTCAAGAGAATACTATTTCTGTCTTTCTACTTCAAAATTTCACGTTTAATTAAACCCGTTTTCTCGTCGTTTCTTTGTAAGTATTTGTGAAATTTAATAGCAGTGTTATTGTCTCATAAATGCACCAAGGAACCAGGGGAAACTAGGGTGGATATTAAGATTTAGTAGTGAATGACAGTATGAAAGTTCGATCAATACTGTTATATGGACAATAAAAATAGAGAGTATTATGATGTTCAAAATTCGGTTAAGTTCAATAAGTAAAGTATATTCTTAGATTGGGTCATGTTTAATAATACATTATTTCTCATGGATAAAATATGAACAGACAAATGTGAAACATGTTTATGTAGGGGAAATGTATACCGTATAACAGGGTTCCTCAAATCTTGCCCTGGAGGGCCAATGCGCTGCAGAGTTTAGCTCCAACCCTGATCAAACTCACCTACCTGTGATTTTCTAATGATCCTGAAGACATTGATTAGTATGCTCAGGTGTGTTTGATTAGGGTTAGAGCTAAACTCTGGAGGAAAGTGGATCTCGTGGGCCAGATTTGAGGATCCCTGCTGTATAAGGTCATACTTTATTTTAAGGTCTAATTCTCGCTATTAACAAACCATTAGCTACGACTTTTGCCTCGGTAAACTCCTAATTTGCTGCTTATTCATAGTTATTATAAGGTAGTTGTTAAGTTCAGGTATTGGGTACACTGTAAAAAAAATAAGTGTAATTTTAACTGTAAAATATTGTAAAAATGCTACGGGAAAAAAACTGTTAATAGGTTAACAGTAAGTTCCCGTGCTATATACAGGGAAAAACTGTAAGATATCTAAACAGACATTTCATGTAATTTTACAGTAAAATGCTGTTAATTGTACAGTTTTTAAAAGTAAAAATAACAAATCAATGTATAATGTACAGTCAAAAACGGTAAACTGATATTCCCAGAATTCCCGGCATGACACTCCACATTTGAAAGTATTTTGTTTAAATAATCATGTTTTTTTTTTAATAGTTTTTGTTGTTAGTTATGTATATTTGGGCTTTATGTTACATCTTCTGTTGTTTAATGAAAGTTGAATGCATTATTTAAGTATCATGTGTGTTACCAAGATGGTGTTTTGTGTTTGGATGAATGACTCTGTGCACCTTCTGTATATTAGTATATACTTCTGCTTGTGGCGAAGCTACTTGTGATGAGCTTTGATTCTTCGTGTGGCTTTCTCTTTTACCACCTGCGTTATTATGGTGGTTGTCAGTATGTTAAAGGTACAAAACAGATTTCAATAGCAGTGTGCATTGTTGAATTTACTGGTTTACATTTACATTTTCATGTTTGTAAATTACAGTTTTATACTGTAAAATTTACAGGTTTTGGCCATAAATGTGTTTACAGTTTTTCTGTATTTTTTAAAACTACAGGATTTGTTTTACAGTGTAGGATTAGGGATGTATATGGTCATGCAGAGTATGTGCTTTATAAGTAGGCCTACTACTAACCAGCTAATATGTTAAGGCATGCCAATAAGCAACATAATAGTGAGAATTGGTCCCTATACTAAAGTGTAACCGGAGATATCGTAAGATATATATTGCTGAATCAGGAGATTCAGACAATTGTGCATGAGGACCACGTTTATGTTGCTTGTTGATTGTAATTTTCAGAACTTAACGGCACCTGGTATCTGTTTACTTTCATTGAAAGAAAAAGCAGAGTTAATATTCTGCTAAACATCTTCCCTTGGGTTCAACGCGAATCAACTATTCCTTTAAATGGCCATAGAAAGCACCCCTGCTTTATGTTTCTGGTTACAGCTGCACGTGCTGTGCTGTTGTTTTAGTAGAAAGCCTGCAGATGTTGTTATTGTATGGGATGATATTATTGGCAGAGTAGCTGCATGTATGTGACAGCTGCGTAAACCTTTTAGGCCTATTTTATGTGTAAACTGCTTGGTTTTGTTGCTCGATCCAGCCATCAAGCAGAAGCGTGTATATACTGACAGCTCCTGTTGTTTGAACAGCATCAGGCATAATTTTCATTGTGTCTTCAATTTTTCTCCTGTTTTATATCCCTAAGTAGATTTTAGCAAGCCGATAACACAATTACTGTCTGCATTGTGATTTCCAGAAATGAGGTTTATATAGTGCAAGTACATAAAAATTCAACAACCATCCATTAATCAGACCTAATATGAGAGACCTGCAGGAAAACGCGTTCCGCAGCGAAACTTGCATGATGTTGAAATTAAACGGCTGCGTGAGGATGTTTCTTGACTTGGCTGGTTGCCAGAGCGACTGATATCGGCGTCATTAAAATGCCATCATAGTTACTTTGCTACTTCTGTACTTACTTATTGTCATCCATCATCTTGACTGTGAGTGTGGGCGTAATTCAAATCCGCAAATAGCTGCCCCGTAATTCTGCCTGCGAAGATTGTATACAGTATTTCAGGCATTCTGTCAATTAATCAAATCTGCCCATTTACCAGCTTTACCGAGACTTGTTCTTTCTGTTATTTGCTAGCTTACGGCGTTGACGAACCTCTTTCATCTCGCAAATTTCATTTCCTGGCATGTCATATTATTACACAAACTCATATCTCTGAGCTGAGAGTTTATTTAGGGGCCTGATGACATGGCCATGCTGCTTTTACAGATAACAAAAGTTGTTTTTTTCTGGTATTTTTAGACATGAAATGCTAATATCACTCTTTGCCGACGAGAATACCTGGTTTGTTGTACTTTGAGGCAGATAAAAAGCCTTCAAGGATCATTTTTCTCTTTTAACAATAAGTGTTTATTCCCTGATGATATTCGTGCATCTGTAACTAATCCTGCCCAAACATTTACACTGTAATTGGAAAATCAAATGCTATCTGTAGTGTCAGCAAAGTCAATTTGAACTTTTCAGTCTGGCTTCTCATTCGTGACTGCCGCTGTTATTTCTCTTTGAGAGGCTAATCAGAAGCATCTTATTAATATGCATCAAAGGGCTGTGGCGTAATTTTTGTAATTAGGCCAGAGGAGAAGTGTTTATGCTTAAGTTTTTTCTCTCTCTCTCTTCTATGCAGCACAGTTCTTCTTGCATTGCTTCTCTCATTTCACTGTACAGCTGCTCTTCAATCCTTACCTGCACACATGTAAATCTTGACTGCCACCTCGGGTTAGAGCTGAAAGAGTTGAGCTGTGTTAAGACAAGGTGACATTGTGATGGTTTGATAGGGAGGATCTTTTATTTGATCAAAGTTTTTATACTGATAGCATTAATATCCCTCTCTCTCTTGTATGTTTGTTGGGCTAATTTGATTATGCTTTCAGACAGCAATAAGAGTGGACTAATCTCAGCTTCATTTAACTTATTTTGGCATTATTGACTAAGTTTGCCAGAAATTTTCCTTTTTTATTTTTTATTGTGCATTCAAAACAGCCCCTGAACTGAAATAATAGCTACTAACATCCAAATTAAAATAAAACACTACTGTAAATTGATCAAAAATGACAGTAAAGCCATTTATAATGTTACAAAATAATTTCAAATAAATGCTTTTTTACATTTTCTATTCATCAGAGAATCCTGAAATAAAGGTGCCATGGTTTTCCACAGACATATTAAGCGGCACAACTGTTTGCTAACATTGATAATAATAAGAAATGTTTTAATGCATCAAATCAACATATTAGAATGATTTCTGAAGGATCATGTGACACTGAAGACTGGAGTAATGATGCTGAAAATTCAGCTTTGTATCAGTACAATTTAAAATAGAAAACATTTTAAAATGTAATAATATTTCACAATATTGCTGTTTATTCTGTAGTTTTAATCAAATCATAGTTCATCATTATTGTCAAAATACACAAAACCAAATGAATAATAGGTTAGATCAATCATAGGAAAATTCGGTTCTTTTTTTTTAACTGATGAACTGTCCCTCGTTTCCATTTATAGTTATGTGGTCAACATCATGTATCATTTATGTACATTTGTTCATCCAGTGCACAAATCAGCTTCCCTGTTACCACAGATGATGTGAATTATGAATACAAGAAATACATTCATTAATTCTGTTCTGTTATATTAAACATTTGAACACATGTTTTCTCTCCACAGATTTTTTAACAATTGCTACAATACTGGGGACCGGGATCCTGGGTATGTAAAATCTTAGTGTGCAATTAAAAATATACCAAATAGCATTATGCTGATTTATCTAATTTAGTCCTTGTTATTTTTTGCACAGCATATAAGACAGATGCTCACTGATCCACAGCAGTTAAGAAAAGACTGCAGAAGATCTTATTTTCTTTAATTAACTATTGGAATGGAAAAGGAAGGAATAAAATCCATGCATGAGAACATTAGCAGGCAAAATGGAGTTAAACATAATTTCTCAATGGGTTTTCAGCAAGACTATATTCTGTTTTGTTAATGATATACCCAGGCTTTATGGTCTGAACAGTAGCAGGTATATATTTATAAGACACCGCAATTACATGGTGCATTGAATTTAACTGTTCTGTTTCAGTGAGATTTAATAGTTGTTAAAAAAAAGACATTTCTCTTTTGATTTCCTCCTATCTGAGTTAAATCATTTTAAAGTGTTCTTCTAGCCATAGTAAAATTACCACCATCAAATGATTCAGTCTAGAGATAATATCTGATATGAGTGGCTGAATATGTGAATATGTTTGCTTTAATATAAGGCCATATAGATATATTCAGAATACATCAGATTCTGTCGTGACATAATCATAAGGTTTTTTTTGTTTTGTTTTTGTAGGACTGCCTGTAACTATCGCTCGGGCAGGTCTGGTGCCTTTCTTGATATCCTTCCTTGTAGGCTTTCTAGTGCAGGTAAGACATTTTTCTTTTTTTCGTTGTTGTATTTATTCTGACATTGTTTTGGATTCTTAGCTCCATTTCAAACGACTTTAACGTTTCAAAACTGACATGGTTTTTCAAAACCGCTGCTTCTTTTGGTAATTATGAGGTGGCTTCTTTTTCTATTCATATTTTCGTCTTCTTCTTTTATTGAACCATTTTCTGACATTTGATGGAGTTGATTTTGACTTCACAGTATCTACAGTTCTAAAGCAGATCTTGCGTTTTGATAATAACATGACATTGCGACTGACATTTGTCTTGTTTGACATTTAAGAGAGACTTATTGTGAAAAAATGTCTGAATCTTCCAGCTTTGAAAAACTTACTTATGCTGCTGTCTTTGATTCTTTTCAAAATTCAGTTCCTCTTTTAGAACTTTTGTACTATTGCAGCACAAAAAAATTAGGCAGCAGTTTTATTTTAACAACAAAATATTCAACAATTTACACTGACCGCAAACCATCAGCCACAGAACTCGACAGGATGTTCAGCAGACTTCCACAAATTAAAAAAAAAATAAATAAATCATAAAAACCTACACAAATGCATATAAATTTAAATGAAACAGTCAGCTTTTAAGAGCACACCGGTATCTTGATGGTCTTTAAACTGCCATTTTTTTCAAACGAACATATTTTCTGGATTTTCTTGCAAAATTAGAAAACATTTTGTCTGCAATAACTTTAGAATAAATGTTGATTCATTCTCTTTTAGGCTCTGCTCATTTACCTGTTTGTAGATTTGCTTCAACGATGCCGTTTAGCCCAACTTGAGGCATTGAAGGTAAAAAAATGACACTACCGTTCAGAGGTTTGGGTACAGTAAAATTTTATTTTTCTATCACATGAATACATTTTATTTTACAATATATTAACAAAGAAAACAGTTATTTTGAATTGTAGTAATAATTTTTAAATATTACTGTTTTACTGTATTTTGATCATTAATGGAAAATAAATGCAGTGAGCATATGAGACTTCCAAAAATATATTAAAAAAAAATCTCTCACAACCTCTGAACAAAATTATAAAAGTGTAATTGCATTCACAAATGAGGCAAATGCACAATAGCTAGTTTAGTAGTAGAATGATAATGTCAAATCAGTTAATTGTGTTGCTGAAGATGATGTATTCTGGTGTCCTGTGCCAGACTGCAGAAACTGAGAGGATCTTAATGGAAGAAGTCGGTTTTGCAGAACCTCCGACACAAAATGCAGAAGAGGAAGAAGATGGGGAGGAAGTGGAAGAGGCAGGTATGGCACATTATAAAAAGTTACTGAATGAAGCATCCGACTCTATGACTCTATTTATTTATGGTTTGTTTTCATTTTATGTTATTTTAATATTTTTTTCCTAAATATGCCGGTTAATCAAATGTTTGAAGAAGATTATTGACTGAAGTGTTTCTAATGAAGATTTGCATGCTTTGCCAGTTCATAGGGTTTTGCTAGTCTATTCATTTTCAGTGCAATTGAAATGAGAAAAATATTTTAGGATCTAATATCCTGCAATGCAGCATTGACTCCTAAGTCTTTGGAATACTTATTATCCACAAGAGATATGATCCTCAAAGCCAATATTTTGATATGAAATACACTGTTAAAAAAAGTGTCTGCTGAACTGCTATGATAATTTATGTATTTTTTTTTAAACTAAATGTCTTGACTGAATTTACAAGGGTAACAATCCGCTAACGGATCATTTTGAGTATAGTACCAAACACACAAACAGAGGTTACTAAATGTGACAAGAAAATCAGCAACATTGTAAATAGAATGGAATGGAAATGGTTAAACAAGGCAACTATAATTTTTCATGCCCCATGCTAGGAAGAGGGAAAATGGAACCACAGAACCATGCTTGCTCGATAGTAAGTACATCAAATGCTGTTTTATTTGTTGATTTTATTTTTAGAATTATTACATGGTCTACTCGTATTTAGATAACCTTAAAGTTTTTAATAAAGACTTGATCCTTGGATTTATATATCTCTGTGATTTCCCATCTCTGTAGGTATTACTTTACCATTGTTGTTTAGAGGCCAAGGCTCAGTGGTAAATTTGGCGCTGGCACTCATTTAAAGTAAACATATTTGTATTTGCCTTCATTCTTGCTGTTTTCCCCGCTGTTTAACTGGTTAGACGGGAGGTGGTAGGCCACGTAAAACAGTAGGAAGTATAGCAGGAAACAGATGGCAGCTGTATTGTTTCTTTGCTAAAAGGACTACAGGGACTGTTAACGGAACCAGATCGGGGAGTAACGCAGAGGCTACGCTGAAACGCTTTAGTATTAGCGCTAACTAATCAGGGCTCATCTTGGCCCACGCAACAGAGACATTAAGTATTTTTGACATGAGATGGAGGGAATAGACAGCTAATGAAGATGAATGAGGCAAAGAGAGGGGGCCGCCCTGTCAGCGGGGATGATGGGCGAGAAAAGAAGCCTTCCTGTGAACGTCAGTGGGAATCACAGCCATCTGACACAGACACACAAATTGTCACTGACCCACATGGTACTGAAGTAAAAAACGGTAACTTACTGTAAATATCCTGAACTTGGTTTAAGCTGCGTATCCTCATTATTATCAAGTTTTATACAACAGTTCTTTCTGGTCCTTAAATCTGATTGGCTGAGAGGAGTGCAATATTCTAGTGATAACAGAGCTATAACTATTTCACCATTTGTATCTCTCCGTTTGCGGTATTTCTCACAGCGAGTGTCATGGTGGATGCCCAGACCACTATAATTTTATATATAATAGTTTTTGTGTAACAAAATGTAGTTTTAAGAGTTTTTTAAGGTGAGAATGTACTTGTTTAGACTTAAAATTATCAGTTTATTAATAAAGATAACGTCTATTTGAAAATTTGCTTCAGCGTTTTCGGAGATATAAGCTCCAGGGCGTCAGCAGACGTTCAGCGCTCATGAACCCGCTGAGGTAAAGCAGCCTTACCTCGGCCAGATCTTCTGGAATTTGCCATTTGTGGTAAATCTAATGGGCAGTCTTTGGTCTCATTAATCTATTATTTGTTCCAGAGCAAATAGTTTTAGCTGAGGGCAAAATCTCATCACGTTGCATTTTATATAATTTTAATGCTGTATATCAGAGCGCTGCCTTTGTACTTTTGACTGAATTGCCTAGCAACTTTTATGATGACTGTTGTTGTTTATTAAATATTATTATTCAATAATAATATTTTATATAAATAATAGAAGTATTTAATAATAGTATTTAGTATTGGGAAACTGTGTGTGTTTGTGATGGTGATTAGTTACTTTATTCTGCCATTTGATGGTGACAAGAGACTTGATTAGTGAGTCAACATTAAAGACTTTTATATTAAAAGAGACTGAAGCAGAGTTGTAAACAAGGAAGTTATTTTTGCTTTCAACAACAGCTTGTAAGACCCAACCAACAAATGCACTGAGCAGCACTGTCATTGTAAATCACCCTTATGAAAGGACAGTACGATAAAGAGCCTATCGCTTTCCTCAGTGGATATTCACACTATTTATGCTGAATATGAGATTGAGTTGAAGAAAGAATGCTGTATCAGATGAAGGTAATCACACTCACTTAGTCTATCTCTCTCTCGTAATACAATGCATAATACAGTGAGCTTTTAATAATTACACCATAAATAATATTTACACTGTAAATAATTAAAGTCTACTGGCTTTCAGAGTCAACATATTACTTTTTGGCTAGGGGTAAAGCAAGGAAAAGTACACGTTTAGATGAACAAGGTGATATAATGGAATGCACTCATGGATGTAGGAAAAATGATTTATGATCCGCAGGATTTCTTTTTAAGATTTACGATAGTCGTCTGTTTCTGTCAATGGTATTTTTTTAATTGTAAATGTTTAAATCTATCTGTCTATCTGTCTGTCTGTCTGTCTGTGGGTGTGTGTGTGTGTGTGTGTGTAATATAATTACAATTATAAAAATATAACGTATAGTATAACATTGCAGACTAAATTGTCTATCATCATGGTAGAAGTTGCCTAAAATCTTCATAAGTCATTTTTTAGAATCTGCTGATGAAACTAGCAGGAGTATTAATAATAATTTTAAAATTAAGAGATTATTAAATAAAATGTAACGTGACAATGCAACCTACTAAATTTAAGCAGTAATTCATATTTAAAAAGGTACATTTGTGTTTACAGTGTATGATAAATGACAAATGCTGTAGAACAATCAAGAATTTATAAAAACTGTTGTAAACCATATTAAATGAAAACTTTTTAGAAGCTTGTCAAGCCATTTAATGTTTTGTCTGTATTCTTAAATTAAGTATTGCATTAAATTGAATGCAACTGCATGTGTGAGAATAGTTTTTACAAACAATTTACAGAGTTTGTTCGCTTATGTTTCATTAACGTGGCCCATGGTTTGAAAAGTTGAAACACAGCTAACCATTGCCTATCTTATGCAGTGAATGGGTGCCGTTCAGATAATGGCTTTACTGCACACCCATTGTTCATTTGCACCCCTGTGAAATTAGGAACAACAATGCATACTTTGTGGGAAAAGTTTGACTTTGCTTTCTGCAATATTCCTTTCCATCTTTTTGCACTGTTAACTCATAGTTAAATGCTTTGTCTGTGATATCTTCCAAACAGCCACTTGCTTCAAGGTGATAAAAATTCCCTTTAGACTTCTTGTGGTTTTCTTTAAAGAGAAGCAGACCTCGATTATAGCACTTCATTTGTTTGTGCTGAACTGCTTTCAAATCAGCAGTTAAATAGAGTTTGACGCAGTGTTCGAAATTAACTGGAGGAATATCATTTAAAATAAATTGGTTGCTTGGAATATTTCTCACTATGCTTAATGAATGACTTCAAATATAAGGCAGTCAGCGTTCCATCAAGGAAATCTTTTAGGAAAGATAAGCATTTTACAAAAGTCAGCGAGACTGTGCCAATTTGTTGTGTACTTTATTCAAAATGCAGACAGCTGAACCAACAGAAACACTTTGCTTCTTTATTTCACTCTATAAGTCTGAACCTAGCAGTGCTTCTTCATTGGTGGGTCACAGGTTTGTTTAGCAGGGAAAAAATTATGATACATGCAAATAATAAAACACAGCTGACTTGTGCATATTAGATATGTTCAAGTCTTTTGTTGTTGATGTCAAAAGTCCAATCAAACTGTACAGTATTTTGACAGAAATACATTCATAAGTCATTTGACAATAGGATTAATTCAAATGCAATATTTGGCCCAGGGATTGTCCCATGTGTTAATCTGGTAAAGCACACCATTTATGTATTCACAAATTAAATAATATTCCATTGACATGTCAATAATTTTGCGTGTTTACCCTGTGCATCATATTAATATTTTTTATGTTTTATAAAAGTATTGTTTATTGAATTGAACAAAGTAAAACTTTTAAAGCAGTGCATTTTCTTGTAAAATTGTACACCAATAATTGTTTTCTTCAAAAATAATAATAATAATATATATTTTATATACACTGCCATTCAAAAGTCTAGGATCAGTAAGGTTTTTAATGTTTTTTTTTAATGAAGTCTCTTATGATCATCAAGGCTGTATTTATTTGATCAAAAATACAGAAAAAAAACTGTAATATTGTAAAATATTATTGCAATTTCTAGTATTGGTTTTCTATTTTAATATACTTTAAAATATAATTTATTTCTATGATGCAGCTCTGAAATTTTGTCAGCCATTACTCCAGTTTTCAGTGTCACATGATCCTTCAGAAATCATTCTAATATGCTGATTATTATCAGTGTTGAAACTGTTGTGCTGCTTAATTTTAAATTTTTTTTGGAACCTGTAATACTTTTTTCTTTGATTCTTTGATGAAAAAAGTTTAAAAAGAACAGCATTTATTAAAAATAAAAGTATAAATAAATAAATAAAAACTGTTATTTTAAATTGCAATAATAATAGTTAACAAAATTACTTTTTTTCTGTATTTTTGATCAAATAGATAAAGCCTTGAGCATAAGGAAAATAAAAATATATATATGTATATATATGTGTGTGTGTGTGTGTGTGTGTGTGTGTGAACAGAAACTATTTTCATTGTGAAATTGCTTATAAATTTCACAATTTAATTACGAAGAAACAACAGATAACATATTGAATTGAATGAAGCAGAATTTTTTACTTTTTGCTACTTTGAAACTGTTGTGCTGCTTAATTTTAATTTTTTTTTGGAACCTGTAATACTTTTTTCTTTGATTCTTTGATGAAAAAAGTTTAAAAAGAACA